GAGCTGCCCGTAACTCGCTTCTGACCTGCTTCTCACCAACAGGCCGTCCAGGGAACGGGGCTGGCATTTATAGTCTATTCTGAGGCCATCAAAAACATGGAGGTGCCCCAGCTGTACTCCGTGCTCTATTTCATCATGCTGCTGATGCTGGGCATCGGCAGCATGCTGGGAAACACCGCCGCTATCCTCACGCCGCTGACCGACAGCAAGGCCATTGCTGCCCGTTTCCCCAAGGAGGTGATCTCAGGTAAGCACCTGCCATGAGCGGCATAGGCCATGCAGGGAGAGGGCACGTGTTTGCAAAAAGCTTTGGTGTCCCACAGCTGTTGAGGGGGTCCCTCTTTGACCTCGGGTAGAGCGGAGAATATCAAATAGGCTGCCAGAAGGGTTTGCCTGCCCTTGGGAAATCCTGCCCAGCCTGTGCAGCATCTTCCCTTGGGAGGTCTCAAAGCGCTAGGGCAATCGCGGCTGTGTATTTGTGGGCTCCCCAACGCACCCCAGCTCATTCAGACTGGTGGCTACTGACTGGTGATACTCAAAAGGGCCAGGAGACATGTCAAGACACCTGCAGCGAGTAGCTCTTCAGCCACATCACTGATAGCCCAACTGAAAACCAGCTGTCTGACCAAAAGTGATACGTGCTCCTGTTTGGGCATGAAAATCAGTTGTCCCACCTTAAAACGTGTTTTAACTGGATGCCCGGCAGCAAGTGCAAAAATTTGGTCTTTTTCATCTGGAGAAAAAAAGACTGAGGGGGGGAACTTATCAATACTTAAAGGGAGTGTGCCGGGGGATGCAAACAGTCTTTTTTTCAGTGGTCCCCAGTGATAGGACAAGAGGTAATGGGCACAAGCTTGACCATAGGAAGTTCCATCTAAACATGAGGAGGAACTTCTTTACTTTGAGGGTGGCAGAGCACTGGAACAGGCTGCCCAGAGGTGGTAGACCTGCCCACACGGGAGACGTTCCAAACCTGCCTGGACGCCGTCCTGTGCAGCCTGCTGTAGGTGACCCTGCTCTGGCAGGGGGGGTGGACTAGATGATTTCCAGAGGTCCTTTCCAACCCTGACCATTCTGTGGTTCTGTAACAGCAGATGCTGTGCACACACGTGACAAGGCTACAGCTGGGACTCAGTTGTCTTTGCTATGCTGATATGCTGTGAGTGCGCGGGTCTAAGAAGCAACAATTTAAGGATAAACCAGCACAGCACATTCACAAACACACGCACACAGCCAGGTGGTTTCCAAAGGGCAAAAAAAATTATCTTTCTCTTCTGAGAAAGCTGCTCCCCAAAAGAAATTAGCAGAAATTCCACCAGTTTTTTAGTCACAAGAAGTATGACGTTTCGCCCACGCAATTGGATTTCCAGGTGTAACGGCAGGGTCCCTGTTTTATCCGTGCAGGTGTGGTGTGTTTCATTAACTGCGTGATTGGCCTAACCTTCACTATGGAGGCTGGAAATTATTGGTTTGACATATTCAACGACTACGCAGCCACCCTCTCGCTGCTGCTCATCGTGCTGGTAGAAACCATTGCTGTGTGTTATATCTACGGGATAAGAAGGTAAAAGCTTGAACCCTCCTTTCCTCATCCCAGGCTAGCAGGGCTGTGGCCACTGGCCAACAATAAAACCACCACTTGGGGCTAAATTCTTCTCTGACGCTATGGAATCAGCAAGGCAATGGGGTCTCCCCTGCCTTGCAGACCCCTTCCAGGGCCTCGGGTTCAGGGCTGCGTGAGGGACAAGCTGGGCTGACGCCTCCTCTGCAGGCAGGGGAGTGGTAATGAGCCGTACCTGCTGCTCCCTGCTCTTCTTGTTCTTTGGTCTCAAAAGCACCTTCTGCCCAAACTCCACTTCTTTCAAGGCAGTTCAACGTGAGCACAAAAGCACCAGTACGTCTGGGTTCAAACCTTGCACGTTGCCGCTCTCCCAAGTCGTGCCTTGCGGGTAAAAGCAAGATTCAGCGTCAGGAAAGGTGTTTGCGCTCAGGGCGTCTAAAGGAAAAGGCTTTAGTATTTGCTTTGTTATTCCACTAGCGCAGCACCTCTACGGGCACCGACATTGGCATTACGTTGTCCTTCATGTGTTCAAAGCCTTTCAAGTCAGGTTTCCTGCATGATTTTGAGTACCATCTCCAGCATTAGTGCTGCCTCAAAGACAGTTGAGTAAGTGGTGAGAACAACTCATCTACACAAAAATTAGTGTTTTCTCCACCGTAGTTAAGCATCGTTGCTGTTCTCCATCACCTTACACCATTAACAGTCTGAACCTACACTCTGGGCCAGTTCTTCCAACACTGCCTCTCTGCTCATTAGTCTCCTGCGCAACTGTACTCTCCTTTCCCAGCTTCCATATTTAATTCTGTAGTTGGTTTTGAAGTAAGATACACCAAGGTATTGATTGAACATATACAGCTCTTCTCAAAATTATGTTTGTGGCTTTTTTTTTTTTTTTTATTTAAACACAGGTTTGAGAAAGATCTACACACCATGATTGGACGCAAGCCAAACTGGTATTGGAAAATTATGTGGGCTTTTGCTAGTCCTTTGCTAATTATAAGCCTATTTATATTTTACATCACTGACTATATCCTCACGGGAACGCTGCAATACCAAGCATGGGATGCCACACAGGTAAACGAGTTTTGGGTTGGTGTTTTTTTTTAAAAACTTCCCTTAATTCCTGCAAGGACACAGCCTTCCTTCCTAACTACATTGTTCCACAAAACCACCTTCTGGCAGCTTGCAGCTAAAGTTGGGGCCATCCCTTCATTTTGTAGAAAGGGAAAAGAGGGAAAACTTGACCTAGTGACAACGATGCCATGGTTCCATAAAACGGCCTCATTTCCCTCTGCAGTTCCTAATCAACCCATTCCAACAGTAAAATTTTATTCATGTTGAAAATCCAAATATAATCTTAAAAAAAATACACATTAAACAGAAAAATATATACTATAGTATATATTATACTATTTTGAACAAAATTAGTGGTATTTTAATAGAACTGAGCTGCTGCTGGAATAAATCGCTTTCAAAATTCCCACATACATTTTTTTTCATGGCCAAAATGATTTTGTACGAATGCTGAACTGGGTATTTATCACAGGGGGATTACTATTGGGATAAGTAATCACTGGTTTCGTAACCTTTTGTGGAAATGTTCCTAGCACGCAGAAACAAATTACACACGTTTTCATGTCACCACTCATTTGGCACCCGGGGTGGGCTTGGCCTGTTGACTGGTGTCAGCGTGAGCCCACGGGCTCCAGGAGAGGAACGCAGAGACCTGACAGAGGTCATCTCATTAAGAAACACGACTCAAGCCAAAATCTGCTCCTTGCCAAAGCTCACAGAAAATTTTTCCCCAATATTTTTGTCAGCAGCTCTGTTCTTACCAATTTTAAGCTCGGACGGTTGGGCAAAGAAAAGCACCAAGTCATGGGCTGCCGCAGCCTGCAAGTGCTTCTCCAGTGTCCTGTTGAAATACACAGCTTTGCCCCAGACCCAACTCCAGGACGCCGAAAACTGTGGACCCCATAGATCCAACGCTTCTTTTCTCCCTTGCAGGGGCAGCTGGTGACAAAGGATTACCCGGGCTACGCCCTCGCGGTGATCGGGCTGCTGGTGGCAGCATCCACCATGTGCATACCCCTGGGGGCACTACTAACTTTTATAAGGAAGAGACTGAAGAGGGAAAGCTGTTCAACCGTTGCATGAACGCTGACAGCTGGATTTGGGAAGATCTTACCCCCATCGTCAGTGACCGGGTGCTGCTGGAAGACAGCAGCAACCATTATTTGTAGCAGCTATTTATAGAGTCAAGAACGGTGGGTGCTATATTGACCAAAAAGTGCTCTTAGGAGGTTCCACATTGGTTTGGGGGGAAAAAAAAAAAAAAGCTCTTCTGTAACAAGATGAAACTTTAATATGGCCTCTTACAGAGGGGAAAAAAAGAAGAGCAGCTTACTAAATGCTAGCACAATTAACCAGCGTATCAACCCGTTACACAACATTAGGTAATTCTTTTCCACCCTGTTGTAGCACTGCCTATGTGGAAACATGAGCAACCAACTAAGCATGTTCCTGCACCAAAGTACTGGCAAATGCCCTTACCATTCAAGAAAGCCATGCTCAAGTACGCACATTATTTGAAATGACATCTGTATTTTGTCAACAGATGAAACTGCTGAAGTCTTGCAATGCGAATGCGAGTAAACCTTTTCCTACAAGGGAGAAGTCAGCAGGATAGTATTTGAGATAAATGTGGCTAACACTGCTGCTTTTACACTTGTGTCCAGCCAAGCAGTTTATATATATAAATATATATATGCACACACGAGCTGCAGAAGTTCTCCCATCTCCAGAAGAAGTAAACTTCCACTTCCAGTATGTAATTGTGCACTGTGCTGTACTTTGTATTTTCTAGGGATGCGCTTTTTAAGTACACTAAAAGAAATCTGTCATAAAGCTGCTTTACAATCCCCACCCAACAAAAGTATGCCATATAATTATCTTTGACAAAGTTCATATCCAGGTATACTTTAATCATGAGATGTAACAATCCAGCAGTTCCATAGAACTGGTTGATTTCCCTATGTGAATGTTGTATAAAGAAAGCAACATGTTTAAATTATAAGCTTCATGTAATAGAAAACAGTAAAAGTCTATATGAACTTTAAAGAGGTCACTCTGCAGAACAACAGTAAAGACACACTCACGGATGCAGGTTCTTAATATAGTGTCTAAACTATGCAACCATTAGAAGAGGGCAAGTGCCTTACAAAAGAGGGATTAATTTCAAACCAACATTGTTAAAGCACACCATCACAAGTGTCGTGCTCTGGGGCAAAAAGCAAGAGGTAATTGTACAGCCTTCGGGGGTGGGCAAAGCCTTGACAATGACAACCAACACCAACAAGACATGTGTAGTCTGCAGCAGCCTCGAGACACAGGACATACCTCCCTCCCCAGACTTCACTAACAAAGGAAAGACAACTTTTCCACATTTCAGTTTATTAAAAATGGATACCATAAACAAGACCTGTACAAAAAAATAGCCGAAATTGCCCAGAATTTTGTAGCAGTTGCGTGGTGAGAAGTTATCGTCTTGGGCCCCCTCTTCCTCTTCCGCGACCCCGACCTCTCCCACGGCCTCTGCCACGGCCTCTTCCAGCAACTTTGCAGATGAAACAAAAAGGATAAATCAAGTGAGTCCCAGGTATACTTTCATTTTGATTAAAACATTCTGTATCAAGCGTAAACAACATAGTGTCTCATCACAGGGAAGCAGGAAGTCAGATAATAAGTCTGTTAATGCTCAGTAAGTTTCAGACAATATTTTCATCTTTTGTGTAAGGTTTTTCAGTATACCAATTCCACAGACTGCCCTCTGTCTTTGGCTTCACTGCATACGGGGTCACAGTTGGCTGCTTCCAAATGCTCAAATGCTGGAAGTCCAACAGAGAACTATGATTCTTCCTTTTTTTTTTTTTTTGATAAAATCTAGTTTTTTAGGCATCAGAAAAAGCATATGCAAGACAAGAGTATTTTGTTACTATTAACTACAGTGGACATTTTTTTTCCTGCAGCTTGCATTGTGGTTTATAAAGTAGTCTGCTAAAGGGAAATGCAAGTTTTAACACACTGTGAGACTCCCAAGCTCAGGCACCACGTGAAAAGGCAGCGTTTTGAAAGGGTCCCAGCACCAAACAGCTCCTGCTGTTTTCAATGATGCCTCTGCCAATTTCAGATGTGATTCTCAGGCCAAAGTCTTGGCCTTGTGCTCCTACTTTTAAGTACAGCTATTTAATGGTAAAGGGAAGACAGAATCACAGAATAACACAGGCTGCAAACAACTGCTGGAAACCATATGATCCATATGGTGATAACGTGTTTTACCTCTTTTTCCTAAAGAAACACAACCTGTCTCATCAGGCCGCTAACCATCCTGCAAACTTTTGAAATTATTGCTTAATTTCAAACAAATTTGTCACTGTAAGGCTGAAAAGGGTACCAAGAAACTTAAAATTCTGTGGAAGTGGGTGGCTGGGCAAGAGACACACAGTAGCATCCCCATTCAAGAAGCAGTCTGTAATTACTCTGTTCCACCTGATGGTATTAGATTAGAAATGCAGTAACAACAGAACGAGCAGAGGCACAGGACAAATCTGTGAGAAACAAGGTGTGATTTCTTTTGCTGGTGAGAGACTGACTCTTTGTAAAACACACGGTAGCATCAACACCGAGTCAATGATTACAGCATCAGCAGAGAGTCACGTTCGCTGAGTGGCAGCACACTCAGACCCACGGCGCACGTGCCACATACATCTCTCAGCCAGCACCTTGCCTTCCACCGACAATTTCATTTGCCAGGGACAGACCATGAGTTACAAGCTTTTGAAGTCCAAGGGCATTTACAGATTAAGTTAAAGTGCAGCACAACGCAGCTGCAGTCTGCGAGTGCTTCAGTGCAATGAAGATGCAAGGAGTATTAAACCAAGGTAAATAGTGCTCTCGCAGCTTCTTCTTCAAGGTTGAAAAGAAATAGTGATGTTCTTGTTCATGTCACATCAAATGTAATCCAACCATACTCCAATTTCAGATTATTTTTAATGGACGTGAGAGGAGCCAAAAACTTTCAGGAGCTTTATCCTTATTCCCTATAAAGACATCAGCCACAACATTTGCACTGTGCGATGCACACACCTGAGGGTTCCTTATACCACTGCAGTAAGGTACGCACACCAATTCATAACATATGCATGGACCACAGATCCAAAAACTTAAAACACTAATTACAGGAGAAATGGTACGACGTTATTTTAGAGCACAATTAGCTTTCACCTAAAATTTACTATTTTAAAAACACACAGATTAGCTGTTGGGCAAAATATATACTGCCAGAAGACAACCTACAGATTTTTCAGGGTTTACTGGATTTTAATCTTTAATAGTGTGGATTAAAACTGAATTACTCCCTGTACTGTTAGTCTTCTAAGGAAAAGGTTTTTCTTCAGCAGTCTTTTGAACAAAAAGAAGAAGAAAAAAAAAAAAGTTCCAGGAAGAGCGCAGAGTGGAAGACTACTGGGAGCCAAAGCTAGAGAGCTGCTCATTGGAATACAGCCTCGAGTCCCTCAAATTCTCAAGTCTCTCAAATTCAGTTCTTTGACAGATTTTTTTTAATCCACAATCAAGTGAGATTTCAGTGAAGCATTCAGCACTGTTGAAGAGGCTGTTCTGTACTTTCCCATTAGGCTATGTGAAGTTCCCCAAACTGGGGAAACAGCAGACATTCAGAGAAGAGGAAATGTAAATGTCTTTGGCATCAACACAGAGACTGCCATAGGTTAAGATTTACTCAAGCTTAAAAACATTTACATTTTTAAAAACAGATGTATGAAAAGCCATACACATAATTTCACAAGAAAGCAAGCTCTACAGCTTGCTTGCTAAGAAGGTGGGCAAGGCAGACTTAGCCAGTTCGGTATCAAACCCTCACAGATGAAAAAACTGGCTGCCAAATGCAGACATTAAGACACTCAAATCGGACGCCTTCATATTCAGAGTACTAAAATGCACACAAAGGCAGAACAAACACAGACTGGGAAAGCACAAACTAACCTGCTTCTCTCTTCTTGGACTTGACTTTTGGTTCCACATCCACTAGCAAAGTATCCAGAGGCAAACTGTCTGGCAGAATGAAGTAGCGGATGTTATTCCCTCGAATACTCAGCGTCTCCAGCTGCACGGGTTCTCTGTTCTTCAGTGTCATTTTCACTGCTTTGAGATGCGTATTCATACTGACATCCACTCCTGAAACAACACAAGTCTAATTTCAGGGATGAACGCCTACAAAATGGTCCCTTGTTCGTTATTTTTAAGTATGCACATGCTTCAAGATTTATCCTGTTCATTAACACGTGCTTCTGCTATTCATTAATTCAGCCTCTAACTGAAGGAAACGACATGTCTTTTTCTCTCCTAAATTATTCTTGCTAATTTATTAATTGTTGCCTTCACAGCAATTTTGTAAATGGTTAAAACAATTCCTTTGATAACAAATGAACTGCTTCTTATTACAGAAGTCCAATACTAGTCTTTTGACTCTTTTAAAAAGGAAGCAAAATGAACCTGAGGAGGCAAAATAACCTGATCATTTCCTCCTTCTGTAAGCCTTAGAAAAACTCCAACTGCCAAAGAAGCATGTATTTTCTGATAAAACACATTTAACAGTAGTGTGATACCTTCTATCAAAGTACAAAAGATACACTACTGCAAGGAACAATCATAGTTACAAACTCCGTGAACAGCCAGTACGTAAGAACTGTCAGTTCAATATGTCTTCTTCAATATGGATTATATTCGAAGTTTTTACAGTTTTTTTAGCAGAAAATGAGAGAGACTTTGCTCAACAATTAGGCCTGCAGGAGCACCGAGGTCAGGAGACAAGCAGTTTGTTTGCTTCCTACCTAGCTGGGTTTAACAGAGCATGCTGCAATCAGATACCAGGGTGGTGCATTCAGGTCTAATCAAAGTTGATGAATCCAGCTGCAAAACAATGCCAATTTTTAACTGCCAAATATCAGCAGATTGCTACTGGCCGAGAAATCACCTAAGCAATCGCCTGGAATACAACTCTGCTGAGTTTGAGGTTTAATTTTTTTAAGTGTCTGGGCACTAAGAGCTTCTAAAAGTAGCCTGGGGTAACTGAAGGAAGGGAGATCAAGCACGTTCATCAACTTAACCGTAAGGGTTTGCATCATTAAATATGGTGCCCCACCTACATACCTGATTGTCTCTAAAGTAATGCCAACACAAACGTTCTCAGTACATCATCCTTCATGCAAGCAAACAAAATAGTCCGCACATTTTTCAATACATATGAGAATCACATATGAACCATCAAGGCTTTTCCTGCAACTATCAGTTCAGTAACACAAAGAAGCACCTGTGAGACAGTAACACCCACAAACTTATATTATATGATAGACCTTTGGCAATAGCAGGGGACCAGATTCCTGACACCAGGATTCCTTTCTGCCCTGTATCAAGCTACCTGTTTTCAAATCAGTTTCATGAAAACAGTGCAAGTATATGCAAAGATGCTTTCCATAGAAGTTCTTCACCGTAACCAGAGCAAAAACATGTTCAACAGAAATTAACAATTTTTAAATTAAAACTGCCTATGCACAAAGTTTAACTGATTTAAGACCTTATCAACACTTAACATTTGCCATTTATCTGTACTACCATTACAAAAGTCTCCTCTTTTCTGACCATTCAGCTGTAAGGTTTTTATGTGACTACAGCTTACTCCAATTTCCCAAATGAAAGTCAGATGTACTGCAACACCTTATAAAAATGTAGCTGTATACCCAGTACCATTTTGATTCGGTAGTAAAACTGCAACACCAGCATTATCATGCTGCTAAAATTCTAAGAGAATACCGCACTTACACCAGCTTTGCCAACAGTCTGGAAAAGTTTACTTCCCTTCTCCCCAAGCCTGTTTGTAAGCAAAGCCTGCAGTCAGTCTCCCAGGACTACAGCGAATTTGCTGCCTCCCACCAACTTCTGCAAACATCCAGAATTGTCTGTAACAAACACACCTTAAGCTTGCACATAAAGATGTGAATCAAAAAGAACATCTCCTGCATCTTACAGAGAAGGTCCCCACAAGAGGGAGTAAGAAACAAAAAAGCCCAGTCCAAACCACAGCTGCCAATTGTTAGCTGAAAGGTAACGGCGACACTTTGCCGTAGTCTTCCACACCACCATACCTGTGATAGTTCCATGCACCTGTGTCCCATTCTTCAGTTCAATGGTCACAGTCTCATGGCTCAGCTTCATTAGAAACCTAGAAATTAAAAAAAAATTAAAATCGTTCACTCCCACATAAAGCCTCAACTATTTAACATCCTGATGCAAAAACCCAATATGTTTTAAGGATTCACACATACTGAGCTTCCAACGACAGCATTCCCAGAGCTCATGGATTTTGCTGGAGACATTTAGTAAAGAATTACACGAGAGCAAGACACAAAAACCCAAACAAAGCCCACGTCCCACCCAACCACCGGCAGCTGGGACACTTGACTTGGCACACTGTTGAATCCAGCATCCTAATTCCAGGCCAAACACTCATTGTTGTACAAAGAATGAAAACGTTTTGAACCTTATTAATACCTCAGGAAAGTAATTCTAACCAAATCTGGGTGGGGTGGTGTTCCCCCCACGCTCCCCCGGAAAATGATTTACCGAGGAACCCGGGCAGGTCCCGCTCCAGCAGCCCCCAGCCCCTTGACGCACCGCTGTGCAGGCCGCCAGCCCAGGGCTGAGGCAGCGGTACGGGAGAGCAGGGCCCCCCT